CCCTCTCGAATCAATAACCTTGGGCCTATTACCCGAACCTTCAACACTCGACACAAAATCTGTCTTCCTCTTCTTCTCCATCTCCAAATCAATCTCCCTCTCCCTAGCTCGAGCTATAAAATCCTCCAGCGTCTTGCAGCTAGATCGACTCACAAACTGCCGAATGTCACTCCTCAACATCTCATGATACCAGGCCTTCTTCATCTCATTGTCCGCACATAAGTGCCCTCTCTCAGAACATAGCGGTGATCTCAGCCACCGTCTCTGTAGTTTGGTGGATATCTTGAAACTCTCGCGCCAACTGCTGCACCTCAATCATCGGTGCAAACTTAGCTCGGAACCTGGTCGAGAACTTATCCCAGGTCATCACATCAACAACTTCATCACCCACTACACGTCCTACCTCCTCCCACCAGTCCCATGCACTGTCCTTCAAAAGGCAGGAAGCTAGTCTGACCTTGTCCCCCTCAGGAAAATGGCTGGTGCGGAAGGCGTTAGCAACATATGCTAACCACCTCCTCCTCACTATCGGGTCCTTCACCCCGTGATAATCCGGAGCTCGACATGCCCGGAACTACCTGAAGGTCAAAGAATGTGCCCTAACCAAGGCCACCATCTCTGCACAAAAGGCGCTCAACCGCTCATCCAGAATCTCCAAAATACCCTCCTTGACCATGCCAAAGATCACAGGAGTCTGCTCAAGGATACTGCACATAATCTCAGACGAGATGAACTCCCTCGTCTGGTCATCTAGCTGCCCAACTCCAGATCCTGAGCCCGAGCCCTCTCCAGCACCAGAACTACCAACAGGTCTGCCTCGCAATGTCACCATACTGAAAATAGACCAGACAAACCATCAGAATGCGCATCAATATATATATATATATATATATATATATATATATATATATATATATATATATATATATATATATATATATAGGGGAATCACAACTCCACAAGCTCCCTGGTTTCATCGCATCCCTCTTTGAATCGAGTACGGATCCTCTGCTTCCAGTAGTATGGGCCCATACTACCTTCCACATCTATTCGTACTTTCCTCAAGGATTGCCTTGACTCCACCAAGTCACTTTATATTCATACAATTTCCCCCCACAAATAAGGCTCCCAACACTAGATCTCATCCTAGGTTTTCCTAGGGCAAACTGCACACCACCTTCCGCCATCAGCTGCAAAAGGAACTCCCGCTAACTTCCTATAACTAGCTCACGAATACAATTACATATTACCAAAACCAGATAATTCTTCAAATGAGAGTCTTACACTACAACGGATGGACTTAGACAAGAGTTACGCAATAGAGTTAAAACCTAACCTTATCAAATTATTTAGTTCCCATAATATGTAATCTAGCATATTCGCTTACTAGTTAGTTGAAGCTAGTTAGAACTCCTAAAAGCACAAAGCAAGCAACATTCGGACATCAAGTAATCAGAACCAAGCATCACCTAATCAAGTCATCCTATCACTGACTGATTAGTACTAGCATGCAAGTCTACAAGCTCATACAATAGGCATACAAAAGGAATTTCTCTTAGCATTCTATCATGCAAAAACTGAGCAGATTATTAGCCCTAACTAGCATGTGTTTCACAGATTCACAGATCAAAGCATACCAGATAACATGTATGGGTATTTTGGGAAAACTTACTTGAGTTCGGCTGATTGCATGCATCACACCCTTTCTTATCTTAGGAAAACTCTTTTCTTAAAACTATATTTCTTTTTGAAAAACTTACCAAATCCTCAGTTTGAGTTCAAACACACCCGAGAGTATGTCTGAATCCCTCAAACTAAGGCTTTGATACCAACTTGTAACATCCCAAAAATAAGACCCGAAAATTTCATTTTTAATTTAGTAAAACCAATATTTCCAAAACATCATTAGTACAAAGCCAAACAAAATAATGTGTGAAACATCATAACAATCAGAGTAAAACACAAAAGTAGAACGAGGTGGTGTGTGCTCTGCAATCATCCCGAGTCCTTCGCCTTGGAACTAGAAGTACTTGAAACATAAACTGAAAACCGTAAGCACAAAGCTTAGTGAGTTCCCAAAGATACCGCATACCAAACATATAACGGGCCCCTCCTAAAGAGTATAACGGGCCCCGCCCTAACTCACATAACGGGCCCCGCCCAATGAATATAACGGGCCCTGCCCTAACTCGCATAACGGGCCCCGTCCACATACAATTCATACTACATAACAAGTAATAACATACAGAATAATCATCGGGCCCCGTCCAGTATGCATACAAGCACATACACATACTAGTGTCACACAGACAATGAGTATTCTAACATAACAGATCATGGGTCAGCATTGGTGCCTTCGACCCGCTAAGCATGGTGAGGAAACTCACCTCGCACTGCTGAATCATACTGATAATCCTTGGTTGCTGGTCCGATAAATCCCCAAGCTATCAATATCAAATAACACCCAATTAACAATTGGAGTCAAATCTATATCCTTCAATCCATACTTACGGTAAAAAGACCATTTTACCCCTTACCTAGTTTGGTCCAAGACTAAGGCCCAAACTGACAATCTAAAAAGCCCAAAAAACCACTTAACCATCCAAGGCCCACATATGGCCCAAATTTCCAAATTGGGCCTAAATCCCTATATGGGCCTTACCCTAAGGTCCACTAATTTATCCTAATTCAAACTCTTACATTCAGGTGGCCCAATAAGGCCCTAAGTCACTAAGCCCAAAGAAAAGCCCAAATCCGAAGCCCAAACATGTGAAGTCCACCTGACTAAGTACGCAGGGCGTACCCAACACGTATACGCAGTGTACTCGCTTGAGGGATTGTACGCTAAGCGTACCTGCTTGTACGCCCAGTGCATTCACCCATTCAACCAAAACTTGATTTTCAGCCCTTAATCCTTTAAGACATAGCCCCAAGACGTAGATATGACTTTTTTGAGTTGGAATATCACGTAAAGTTGCTAACTTTACGTTCATGCATGGCTAAATGAAGCTCTTAAGCTTAAAAGGGACTTAATAATTAACTTAATGCATGCATGTAACCAAAAATCTCATAAAGCTTGCACCTTTATGCTTAACTCTTCCATCAACCCAAAAGGGACCAAAAGCATAACAAACAAACTATGAATAGATCTAAACATATACAAGCCAAGATGCAAACTTGATACCTCAAAAAGCTTGTACACAAAATGATGATTCTGGATCCAAAACCTTCTCACCGAGCAAGGAAACTTCAAGCTCCTCTACTTCCTTCACAAAGGCAAAAATTGCCACCAAAGTCTTCTTAATGGCTCAAGAACACCACAAAGAGGCTTAAGGGTCAATTTTAGGGTTTTATGGCAATGGAGGCTGGTAAGGAGGCCAACCATAAAGACTTAAGACCTTTATAAAGGGTACAACACCCTAAATTAGGGTTTCAACATAACTCACGTATGCCCCGCGTACATATATGTACACTCAACGTACATGTCCGGAGTCCCATCCCAACCTCGCATTAGTACGATAAACGTACCAAGCGGTACGCCCCGCGTACTGCTCATGGACCAAAATGCAATTTTTTTAATAACAAGGGCAAAATAAGAAACATATCAGGATTCAAGTGTTACATTATGTGTCAAGTGGTGTTATTGGATAATGTTATGTAAATGTTTATTGTATGTTTAATTTTTTGGCACTTTATGGTATGGTATGGTGTCTATGGGAACAGTTGATGTTATGTTTATGTTTAACTACTGTAATGTTGATGTTTAAAAATTGGTGTCATTGTTATGTTTATTTTTTGCTGGATTTTTTTACACATTGAGTTAACTTGTAGCACTTCACCTTTGTTACATTTTACACAAAACAACTCATTGTCTTTGACATTGTCTAAATCATAAACAAAAGATTGGTCAAAATATACTAACATATAATTACCATTGACATTATGATACAATACATGCCTTACATTTTACGAACTAACCAAAATATACCCAAAAGATGTCATTGTCTTATAGGTTAACCAAAAGATTACAAAAGATAACCAAATCACATGTATACTACTTCTTGAGTACCAACACAATCACAAAGAAAATTCAGTTGCATAACAGGTAACACTTAGAGTTTTATAAATTATGCCTTCAATTTGTTGATTGACCACAACAACCTAGGCATTATATCTTTTGAACGTGCACACATGGAACCATCAACCCACACAATAAATCGACAGTCCGATCCCTTGGGAAAAAAACTTGGACCGATTAAAATTATTTTTTGAAAATCCAAAAAATAATTAATTACTTCCGTAGGGCATCCCCATAAATGACGATGATGACCTGGTTCTTATTAGTCCAAGAAGTACACACGTTAGCTATTTAACTAGAGAGAGAAACACATACCATTGTTGATTTCTTAAAAAAATGTAATTAGGGCAATGAGGGTGATTTAGGGCAACTAAATAAGATGACAACATGAATGAAGCCGATCATGAGGAATTAAATATCTTCAAAGACCCAATACGGATAAGAAAAAAAAATGGTATTTGTCGTTATTATAAGTTGTTATTTTTAAATAAAAATATATAATAATAAAAATTGGACCCTGTGCAGCTGTCTACTTTGCCCCCTCTCAACACCCCCATGGAATGAAGATAGCACATGGTCTTTACCATATTTAAAGAGTATTAATTAAACAAGAGGAAGGAAATAAAAGGAATGACAAAAATACTTTCATGTAGGCAAGGAATGCCACATTTAACGGGGGAATATACACAACTATTAAACCGTTGGACCAAACTCGTAACAAAATCAAAGTTTTGGGCCGGTGGTGCTAGTCCAAAACTTGTTGGAACAAAATGTTAATTTTCAACGACCATATAGATCAATTTTACAATTTTGTCTAATAAATAATTACTTACTTTTCCACTCTCTTATATTAAATCAAATATTATAAACATTTTTATAAGTTAATATTTTGTTTGAAAAGGGTTGAAAATAACAACACTCTAGTAAAGAGCGCAATCTTGTCCTAAATTCTGCAAATCCGGCCAACTGTACCTTACCTTGCTTTTACTCACAGTAATGAGTAAACCCCCCTCCTTCCAATTCTCAATTCAGTTTCAGCTTGACGCATTGGAGACCGCTCTCTCAATTCAATATCAGCAAATCCCCTTGAAAACCCATCTCAGTTTCAGGAATCTGTGTGTGTTGATGTGTGAACTCTGCCCTAAAACTTTCTACTTTAAGTTGTTGGGAAGCGGCCAAAAAATGTGGTCGTCTCTTGTTTACTAGTGTAGCCCACAAAAAAAGTAAAAAAGAAAAAGAGGGCATTTGTTTCTTACTCTCAAAAGTTTCTGAAATGGAGAGTGACAGCAAGAGTGGCGGTGCCGCGGCCGCTGCTGGTGGTCGGTTGCTGGTGGACGAATCTTCTTCTGATGTACAGAACGACAGGAAGCGATTTCAGATAGACTTGAAGCCTGGTGAAACAACGATTGTTTCATGGGTTAAGCTGCTTAAAGAATCCGGCATTCCAGTTGTTCAGTCTCCTCCTCCATCACCTGAGCCTCGGGTAAGAATTCTCCTTGTTGGTTTTATGTATATAATATTCTGATGATTCTGTTGTTGATTTTTTTATTATTTCTCCATTATTAGGGTTAAATGATTGTTAGATTTGTGCAAATTTTGTAAATTCTGTTTGATTTGGACATAATTCGTCATGCTGTACAAAGGAAGCCTCAATGTAATAGAATTCAGCAGGGGAGCCCAAAATTTCTCGAAAAGGAGGCAAATTTTACAAATTGATTACAACTTTTATTTAGGGGTGGAAAATTGTTTAAATCTCCAATTTTTACTAAAAATTTCCCTACTTAAGAACTCACAGATCATATGAGATTCAGGTACTCATGAAGACACCATTCCAAATTGAAATTAATGGATCCCTTAAGGGATCTAGGCTGCAATAACATTTTTATCAGATTATTTTGATCAAAAATTTTGTAAAAAAACTCTCAAAAGTGATTATTGCTACTTAAAGTCGCAATAATCAGTTTAAACACACATCCAAACACCCCCATTGTATCAAAAGATTACGTGCACTTACAAGTCTTTTGCTTTATATGCGAAAAGAATGCTCTTTTAGAATAGGAAATAGGAATACATTAATATTTTGTGATGCCAAAAGCTAAAACTGCAGATCTTCCTTGTGATGAAGTTTTCTATTTATTTGATGGTTCACAAGGGGTGAATCTATGCTGTATATATATCTTGCTGATTCTACATTAATGGTGGATTTATCTCATTAAACCTTTAGGAATTTGTTGATAAATTCAATGTCTATCTTGTGCTTGGTGGTCTTACAGATGGAGTATCGCATTGTAGCAAGAGATGTTCCCAATAAAAGAAAAACTAGAAGCCAGGGGGACCTTACACCTGAAGCTACCCACTTTAAACCTTCTCCTAGGAGTGTTTAATGAGTGTTGTAGGGTTGTAACTGGTTCCTTGGCTTGGTTACATATAATCTATATAGTGTTTAAGTAGTATTATCAAAAGACAATGGGGTCCGAAAATGGTTTGAACTATTTGGTAGAGTATGCACCTTTTCGTTATTATGTTGTATATAATATGCGTAATCGACTAATGATATGTATATGTCTTGTGATATCTACTAATGATGGAAACCTACAAAGAATTCCTAACATCTAGAACGCCATTGCTAGCTTAAAATTTCAACTTTAGTTATGTGTGATTTAAGAATCTAACAAATTCTCTATATTGACTTGCTTGATCCTACTAAGCTTAGTGCATACATGACAACTTCCAAATTCAACTTCCCGATTGGCGCTATACATCGTTGCATTTTATATATGACAAATGTTATGATCTTTGTTTCATGCTTTCAGACGTGGGGTGGTACTTGAGAGTAGAAGTAAGGGTAGGTGTAACCCCCCCCCCCCCCCCCCCCGAGTGGTTGGTGTTTTGATGTAATGTCTGTTACTTTTTTAGGAAAACAACTTATAGAACATGGGCTAAATGTGAGTGAACTTATGCATGTGTTGATGTGACATGCTTTTTGCTACTATGGCTTAATTTCATTTCACCTAATGCCCGCCACTCGATAAACTCATATCACCCCATTACAATTTGAGATCTTATCATGTCCACCTTGACTGTCTTTCTAAATGATGCTACCATACTTTCTTGGAATAATTATCACTCTAATCCTTTCTTTTATCATGGGGCTTGAAATGCAATTCAATATTTGCATTCTTGCTACATTATTATAAGAAACATGTTGCATCGTGGCATCTTCACGCTTAGAACCTTATATTATAGAAAGTGTGAAATATATAGACCTTACCATTCACTAGAGAGTATCGATATATCTCTCTATGTGTGTATACATATGTACGTATGCATATGTATGTGTGTATATATGTATATATACAAACATCTTCATAATATATATATATATATATATATATATATATATATATATATATATGTATGTATGTATTATAACATATAAGTAACTTTAGGGATACTTGTCACCTTCCCGTGTTCCTAACTATCTAATTTTCCCGTTGATCCCAAATGTCTCCAATTTAGGAAAGTTGAAACACCCTCTCATTTTTAGAAATCTTTGATGTTACTTATTTCTATGTATTCCTAGCAACTAAACCTAGTTTAAACTTAGTAAATTCTCCAAGGAGTTCCTCAACCAAGTAAATATGTATTCCTTACATGCCTACATATTATTAGCATAATCATTACTCTAAACATGACTTATTTATCCCTCTATTAACTATGTTAATGCTTGTAACGTCCATACATATGAAACGGTATGTTATCTACCAAGATATGGATTTAATATTCGAGGCAAATGATTTTGAAAATTTTGCCAAAGGACTGTAGTCAAATATGGTAAACGCAAACTCGAGCAACCTCCAACTAATCAACCAACACGAGGAAGGTAAATCTTAATGTCTTGAGAGCAAGGAACCTTACACCTCCTTTGTGGAATCTCATCTCCTTACCACTAAGGTAAGCACGTAGGGACGACTTCCGTCAAATAGGGCCCAAGTAGGCTTGTAAAAGGTTAGACCCAAAGCCCAATACATGCAAAGCATGTTAAAGCTACAACCCAATCGAAGCCCAATACCTAAAAAACAATTTAGAGCAACAACTCTACATGGGCATAACTTTAACGGGGTCTTTTGGTTTCTTTAGAGAAACAAGACCTTGTGACAACCTATATATAGAAAAAACTCAAAGGACCTTCAACTCATCACCTCATCTATGCATACTTTCTCTAAACCATGCTTTATTTTGCTTTCTCCTAGAGGCAAATCAAAGAGTTAAAATACCTAAGCATACATCGTGCTTTTGGTGGATATATCTAATCTGAAGGGATGAGATTAAACATGATGTGAATCCAACATGTCCTTACTGTTAACTTTGTAATTACTCATTTGTTTTATGAACCAAATTTCCTTGAATATGTGAGGATCCAAAGACATACCCATATTCCTCTCTTGAAAAAGTAATAGGAACATTTCCTTCAACTTTGTTTGGCTTATATGATGAGACTATTGATCGTTGGATAGGCTTCCTTACATAACCTATCTTTGTTAATTTAGAACCCACATTGTTGGAAACTTCTATATCATGAATGAGACAATGAGAATGATCTATTCACCATTAAGCATAACCACATGTTCCGTTCCTTCTATAACGAAAGTTGCTTTCAACGCGTTGATTCTTGATATCTCAATTGCTCTAATTTAGAGTTTCTTTTTTTTTTGAATGGCAGCTTGATTGGAGATTGGTTAGGTGTTAGTGTTAATACTCCAATTCTTGTTAGCACCAAGGATCAAACCCTGGCCTCCTCATTCTCGCAAACTAAGAGGCTATGCCTCTACCAATTGGGATATTCCTAATTCTTCTCAACAACAATCAGTTTATGCCAAACTAGTTATGGTAAGTAATAATGAAAACGGAAGAATCATTATTTTGCATTGATAACATATGCATATACTCCATTTCTCTCTTGCTACTCACCTACCCCCCATATATTTCCTCAATCGGTTTTTTGTAGTTGATGTTTTTGAAAGTCGATGTAAATTTATAGGAAATCGCTATATATCACAAATCTTGGCATTCCAAACATAAAAGAGTGGATCGCGTTCTTGAACATAGATTTACTTGGGGGTGTTTGGTTCAACGGGTTCTATGGGAGTCGAGTGGAGTTGAATTCCATTGGAATTCTCAGAGTTGAATTCCCTATCGAAGCCTAATACCCAAAAAAACAATTTAGAGCAACAACTCTACATGGGCATAACTCTAAGGGGATCTTTGGTTTCTTAAGAGAATCAAGACCTTTTGATAATCTATATATAGAAAAAATCTCATAAAGGACCTTCAACTCATTTATGCATACTTTTTGTAAACCATGCGTTATTTTGCTCTCTCCTTGAGACAAATCAAAGAGTTAAAATACCTAAGCATACATCATGCTTTTGGTGGATATATCTAATTGCAAGGGATGAGATTCAACATGATATGGATCCAAAGACATGTCCTTGTTGTTAACTTCGTAACAACTCATTGGTTTTGTGAGCCAAACTTCCTTGGATATTTGAGGATCCAAAGACATACCCATATTCCACTCTTGAAAAAGTAATAGGAACAACTCCTTTAACTTTGTTGGCCTATATATATGATGAGACTATTGATCTCCAGATATGCTTCCTTACATAACCTATCTTCGTTAATTTAGAACCCACATTGTTGGCAACTTCTATATCATGAATGAGACAATGAGAATGATCTATTCTCCATTAAGCATAACCACATTGTTTCGTTCCTTCTATAACGAATGTTGCTTTCAATTTGTTGATTATTGATATCTCAATTGCTCTAATTTAGAGTTTCTATCACCCCACTTCACAACAACAAGCAATTTATGCCAAACTAGTTTATGGTAAGCAATAATGAAAACGGAAGAATCATTATTTTGCATTGATAACATATGCATATACTCCATTTCCCTCTTTCTACTCACCTACCCCCATCTATTTCCTCAATCAGTTTTTTGTAGTTGATGTTTTTGAAAGTCAATATAAATTTAAAGGAAAATGCCATATGTTACAAATCTTGAACATAGATTTACTTGGGGGCATTTGGTTCGACGGGGTCTATGGTACTTGAGTGGAATTGGAATTAAGTTCCATGCTAATCCCGCGTTTGGTTGGAAATGAGTATGGAGTTGAATTCCTTTGGAATTCACCAAATCCTTTGAGGATTTCAACATTCCATCCTAAACCCACATAGTTGAAATTCTCCACATTTCCTCCTTTGTTAATAAAACTCATACACCCTTTTAACCATAGAATTTCACAAGTAAACGCCTCTCGCTTCTCCATGTGCTTTGCCTCTTCTTATGAATTTCATTCCATTTCCTGCCAACCAAATGCCAAAATTCAATCCCTTTAGATTCCAAATCCTTCAATTCCAATTCCTTTGATGGTATCCGATTCCTTCAAACTTGTAGCATTCACTTTTTCGCACACTTCAATGGCATATCTAACTATAGTTATTTTTAATGCAAAGATGCTATTCCATGATTGAGACATGATTTGTAGAAACAGAAACAAAGAATTTATTCGTCTTCTTCTCAGTTCAGTTAGCTGCTTGTAAATTTTTAATCCTTTTCATGTGTTTGATGACATACTATTTATACTTGATTTGTTTCCTGATGTGACATATAGTTACAATGCGTATTTAAGATTATATGATAGTTTTTATTACACACACCTTCATTTTCTATATATTCACAGACATTGGTATGGCTTTTTGCCATTAAGACTATGCATTGATACTTCTAAATCACATATTTTGGTGAATAAGTTAATTATTTATTCACTTTTTATTTCTCATAAGTGATTGAATGTCTTCACTCCTCACCAATTATGGCATCTACATCTCTTAATTGCTATGCTTTCTTTTAAATACTTAGTCTGATTTCAGGATGAATTTGGTATTAATTGCTCATTTGACCATGAACTCTCTCTTTTGCAGAAGTGGTTTCATGAAGAAGATGAGTCAAGAAGAGAGTACTCCAACATCATTCTTAAGAAAGAGAAGGAAGAGCAAAAGTGAGATATTGCTAACTCCTTTATTTTTTGCGAAAATTATTTATTAAAAAGCAACCCAATATTTTTGAATAAAGCAATTAATGTAGTTTTGTGATTGCTAGCTATAGATCTTCCACAATAGAGCATTGCCAACCAAAAAAGCAGAGGACTGATATCTCACAAGTCCTGGAAAGGGTCAATGCTGTTCAACTCACCAAAAACACAAAAATGGGACATGCGAGGGTAAAATCGTCAACTGATGTGAATTATCATTATGATAACAAGAACAAATCAGGATCTCCTTGTGGAATGACATCTGATTGGGCTGCTGTATGTGTTGACCTTAGTGAAGAACATTCGGTCAACAATGGAAGGAATGAGCTTCCTGACCTAAATGTTCCTTATACAATGCAGACAACAGTGAGTAGTATACAATGCATACACACAGGCATAGAAAATCTTAATGATTTTCTATGCTTATGTGTTGTTTGACTTTCTTTACAAACTTTCCTTTTTGACAAACTAAAAGTATACATATTTATCCATCTCAAACCAGTATTCTGTCATGATTGTAAGGCGATTTTAGGCATTTTTTGATGAATAGTTATCCACTTCTGCTAAACTAAATGGACTTAATGGTGATATGACTTAATCCAATAAGCTATATAATTATATATCAGTGTTTTTTTTTATTTAAGACAACAAGAATGACTTAATGAGAGAGTCAGGCGAAGGATACTTTCCCCATTAACTTTTCCTCATTTATTTTTTCCTTCACTTTCCCAAGTGTGCCATTATTTTTTTTTTTAACCATCATTAATATAGTTTTTTGCAATTAATAGAGTACTTCAGCAAGAGACATTAAGGATGAATCTTGTGGTTTGATGAATGGATCAATGCTCGAAAGTACCATCTTGGAGATGGAGACAATGGTTGCAGAGTGTAAGTTCCATTTTCTCAAATAATTGATGCTCAATTCATGAAAATGGCAATATTTTCTTTTTTCTTTTGAACTTTTCAAAATATAATCACTTGCCCATTGTCATCCATTACAAAAAAACCAATGATATTGATTTGGGTCGACATGGTTGCACCCTAATTTGTCTTTATTGACGAATATTGAACACATTTATGTCCCGTTTCTATTTTATTTTCCATTTAGTGTTGTCTGAATAAATATATTTAAGAAAATGAAGGCACACTCGGGGAAATGGAAGAAAAACATATATGATAAAATTTGTAAAAACTTAGGCCCTGTTTATTAAGTTATTCTTTCTGCATTAAGTCATATATATCTTAATTGATATGTCCCCAAAATGTGTTTCTTTTGCAGCAAAACAACTGCATGGTGATATTCAAGATTCAGTTCATTCAGTAGCATCTAAAAGCCATTTGCCTCCAGAACTTAAGAAAAAGCTTGAGACTGTTGCTAGATTAGCAGTATGTAATACCATTATAACATCATTGTGTCATAATCTTTTTTTCACATGGGCTATTTTTTTAATAAGAAAAGAAAAATAATTTGATTCTTTTTCTTCTTTATAACACTTTTCTTTGGGAATTTCAGCATTCAAGCCAAGGGAGAATATCAGATGAACTAATGATGCGTCTGATGAGCATTCTTGGACACTGGTTGAAGCCTAGAACACTAAAGGTATCTCCATGATTTTTAACAATTGTCATTTCTCTTCACTTGAGCTACAAAAGAACTGTTATTTAGAGTGTACAATTTTAAAACATTTTGGTGAAAATGGTTCCTTTTCGGATTATATTTTATTGCTAAAGGATCCAAAGGGGGGAAAATGGATCAAACATCTTAAAAGTTGATTAAAATAGTATCTAACTTTAGAATATATACTAAGTTGCTTTATTAAACAAAATTCACAACCTACTTTCATTATCTTATCGATTTATCCACCACTGAGTATTATTATTATTATTTTTTTTTTTATCAATTTAGCTGTTGAACTATTATTAAAATTATCATAGAATCATAAGAGTCCAAACTCAAGTGACTAAATCGATAAAAATGGTAAAAGTAGGCTGTGTTTTTCTGTATTTGAACTTTTTCAAAACCTGAGTAGCCAGGAAAAATGGTTACCCAAAAGGTCAAAAAGTATATTGGTTTAATCACAAACTACAGAAAAATTGTCAAGTGGCTAAAAAGTATATTGGTTTAATTACTCATAAGTCATACCCCTTTTCTTTGTGTGTATAGAGATGCTTGAGGGATATGGTTTCATCATCAACATGTGGATTGGATGATTCCCGGTTTATCCAGATTAAAAAGGAGGTTGTTGAAATGATTAAATTGCGGGCCCCATCAATGGAAACAAAGGTACCCTTGAACAAAAATAACGACATAATCTAAATAAGTTATGTATGTGTGTTTCTTTTTGATTTAATGCAAAAAGAATGACTTAATAGAGAAACTCAAAAAAACGAAGCATTCCCCATTAAGTCCTAACTTTTTACAAACATTATTTTTTTTAAACAAAACATAATATGAAAAAAAGAAGCATGCCTTAGGGCTTAGACTAGTTTCTTAAAAATAGAATTTGCTTTGATTGGTTTGTTTAAGCTCATATAGGCTCACCAACTCGATGTAAAAGAGGGGCATTTTCGGAACAAAAGCAAAAAGATATGCATACATATTTTTCAGAGGATGATATTATTGAGCATAGTTTTATATGAGGGGTGTTTTGACTTTTGAGGCATAGAAACTCAAATTTCCCAATATGATTTGTTCTATAAACAACCATTGAAATATAAAAATTTGCAGGTTGCTCATAATGCAAAATACAGCATGGATATGGACCATGAGATGGAAGATAAAATATGTGATTTCTATGACATTTATGTCCAGGTATTGTTTTTATGGATGTGTTTGTTACATGGGACATGACAAAGATTTGTAGACTATTGTCCATGACTCGGGTAAGGGCATTCACGTCTTTTGCACACCCGGCAAAAAAAATGCAATTTTTGTCCTATTGGCATTAGTCCCTGTCTGAGTCCAAAGTATGCATGCCACCTGTCATGTCATGAGTAACAAACGGGGCCTATAAGGTGTTGGAAGTATTTTTGTTCTGTTATATTGGACTTAATAATGGACATATACTTCATTTCCTTGTTATATTAAACAGGCAATGGATGAAATTAAAAACTCAGAAATACGAAAATTCTACATTCAGGTAGTTGTTTTCTTGGAATACCACCCTCTTATTTCTTGCCTTTCTTTTGTATGCCGATTTCTTTATTAAAAGTTGCTTTGTTGAAGGGTATTTATGACATTTGACTGATAGTCAAACACTTCCAGAGTAAAATCCTCATGATTTTTTTTTACTTGATACTAATCTAAAGCTTCAAGAGTCTAGTTTACCAAACATAAAAACTAAACTAAAAGCTTGTTAAAAAACATTTATATTTACAATGTACTACAATAGTCTACATTACCCTTGCTAGTCTTCTTTTTTTTCTCTTCTCTACCACATTACCTTGTGCCTATATAACATCATCCAATTCTTCAAGGGCATGATGGTCATCTTATCTGTTTTCATGCTATGATTTACTTACTCCTCTTATGTTAGTGTTTCATCATGTCATTTTTTAATATAACAAGTGAATTGAAGGGCATAATCGTCATCTTATCCGTTTTTAGTGGCTTTTTGACTGAATTTGGCATAAATGACACTCTTTACCGGTTTTGAGTTCGATGGAAACTAAACCTAAAAGGGATTTATCTTAATTTAGGAGATAATTCCTAAATAAAATGAAACAATAAATATCTCCCAGAAAATGAATTTATCTAATTTAGGAAAAATATTTTTCTTTTATGTTGTCAAGCTTGCGGCTTTGTGGCCAAAAGGGAGCATGGACAACCATGGAATACGAAATGCAATTTGTAGAGCCAAAGAACGTCGAAGAACACTATTGCAAGATAAGGTTCGTAGCTCTTGTTAATTTATAATTATTTTATCCAAGGGTATTTTAGACTTTTTAACACATAGTAGATGTCCGTTTAAACGTTGCAATTTTCATGGCATTTATCAGGAAGTCTCATTATCCAGTCTACATGATTAAATTAATGTACATATAATTCTCTATTGATTGAACAAAAAAACTTTGCTTTGTAATGAACCGAGTTAAAAACCAAAAGGGTATATCTGGGAATAAAATTTAAGGTAGGTTTGTTAAGATTGTACGGATAACTGCTGATTGGATAAAAAAGTCTTTTGATCATGTTCAGGGGCATGAAAAGAAGCCTACTGCAGGGGTGGATAGCAATCTCCATGAAGAAGCTAACTTAGTTGCTGAACAGGGAAAAACGGTAAATGACCATAATGCCCCTGTTGTAAATTTTCCGGACACTGTTGTCCCTGGCACGCCTGAACTTGATCGGAAACTTGGTGCACCTGCAAAAAGGTTCAGCCCACCATCAGCAGGCGATTGCTGAGTTGTATAGGACACTACCCGTGAAACTGTATATAAATGGTAACATTTATGTGACCATAATGCCCCTGTTCTAAGATGTTTTAACCTCTCCACCTTAATTTTTGTTACATTTATGTGAAAACAGGCCAATTATACCAGCTTTTTTCTTCACATAAATGGTAATATGTTTAAAACAATTTCATTAAATAATAACTAAGTTTCAGTTTTGTTCTATGTTTGGTAGTTGGTACCTCAATTCTTTTTAAGAGGCTTAACTGCTTAAATTTAAGTTTTCGTGTCATTTATATAAATCAATGAAAAAGTACTTAACTTTGTGGCAATATTACATAAATTTTAAAAAAAAAAAAAAAAAAGTAGTTTACATGTGTCAAATCTTTGCAAATGTATTAAGTTGGCACTAGAAAAGATTAATAAAATGCATTCAACACAAAACATTTAAATCCAATCACATGTAATCCTTTAGTTTTATATGACCTGCATGTATTTGGCGTGCAGTGGACTGAGACATGAATGAGACAAAAAAAATGCAATCTTTTGTCCCACCTCTCGATCTCTTCTGTTCAAATGAATGCCTTCGTCATCCTTATTATCGAAAATAAGCCAAAAAGGCTTCTACAATCTTGTAAAGTTTTATCAATGAGAATAGCCCTACAAAGCTTGTCCATTCCACTCCATTGTGTGTCACACGACATCAATGATGTGAAAAACAAAGTTCCATGTCATCGATCTTAAGCAAGAAATCTCGAGATGCATGCTAAAGATTATGTTGGAACTTTGGTAGTTCTTTTAAATTTCTCTCAACGATTATTGTGTTGTAGAGGAGTAGACCCACAACTCAATCACCTTGGTTAGTCATAACTTACAACATAGTAACCAAGCTTTTGAATTTGTTTTAGTTAGGTACCTTGAACCTTTTTTCAAATTGTCACATGCTTATTTATTTGATTAATAACTTAACAATGATGTGGAAATGACATGACAACATATTTGAGACGATTTGATTAACTAATAACAAAGTTTTATTTTTGTCACTTAAACACCTTAAATTATATGAAGGGGTTAACATTAACGGTGGAAAGCAAACTCATTGTTTTTCTTATTAGGCCATACTAGTTTATAACCCGTGGGCACCACGGTTATAAAATTAATTAAACTTTCATAGTAAAAACTAAAAAATTATTAATTAATTATTTTAAATAAATTATTAATTAAGAGATATTATTTTAGTTATATAAAATTATAATCTGTATTAATTTTATTTTAATTGTTATTCTAATGTTATTTAATTTAATGTAATTAGAGTGGGAAATTTAAATTTTGAAATTTGAAATGGATAATTAATAGATTGACTTGTGGCATGACATTAATTATGAGGCCTAATAAGGTGACACATGGCAAAAGGAGAATCAACCTATTCTTTTATTATAATAGGGATGATATGGTAAATTGACTAAATGAGTAACGATATGTTTAGATTAAATGACGTTTGTTTTATTTATGGACTTCTAAATGAGACTAAACAATCATTTTACCATTATACTTAAAAAATAATCACATATTTATTTAAGTTTAACAATATTTATCAATTTTAATATGCGAGGAGCTAGGAGGTAAAATGAAGAAGATAATATTGGTAGAGGGTTGGCATCTTAACACATTAAGCCTATTTTTTAGGCTTAACCGATTAGTTCATTTTGTCCGGGTTAAGTAAAAAAAAAAAGAGTCATTTATGGTTAGTTCAAATTAAGAACTTAAGACAATAAGAAAAAAAAGAAATAAGTCGTCACACATGTATATATAGAAGTTTGAAATGATATTATAGTTTGAGTCATGGACGAAAGCCATCCCACCGTTGCTTTACATCTAAGTTTCAATGACACGAAACACACAAAATAAAAGGAAAAGAAAGAAGATGTGACATCCCCAATTTCTCGGCAAGAAAAGACCGATTTGTTTATGTTTTGTTTTATAAATCAGAGTAATCTTTTAAAGAAAACGGTTGCAGAATTTGTTCCCAAACAAGATATGATAAAACTTTATCAAAACATTTCTCAAAGAAAATTTACTTTTCATTAAATAATAAAATCTCGGGATGTCATGTTCCGATGCAGACCAAAAGCATAAACAGTATAAAATAGACCTTACAACAGTTATTTATAACTACTGATCTATAATCCAAAATCTCTCGTCAAGTCCACCAACTTATACTCTTGTGCCATTACCTGTAATGCAAAGAAAACTGAATGGGTCAGGCTTGGGAGCCTGGTGAGCATATAGGGTTTTCAACCCACAATAATATAATTTTTATATTTAATCATCAAACAAACAATCCAATTACCCATCCCCATTATCTTCTTTATTTCTTAAGTTCTTACCTTAAGAATCCACTATCGTTCATTCGTTCGTTCCTAAGGATTGACCTAAGGAATTGGCACAAAGTCCATTGCTGCCCGAGGTTCATCTACGCAGTACTAAATCCATAGCTACCAAGGTTCATCCATACAGTACTAAATCCATAGCTACCAAGGTTCATCTATACGGTACTAAATCCATAGCTACCAAGGTTCATTTATACGGTACTAAATCCATAGCTATCATTGTATTTATATAAGGCACTAAGTCCATAGCTGCCAGGGTTTTTAGAGTACACCGGTGAACACATCGTTCACAACACCTACAAGTTGCGAGCTTGCTAGTGTTCCACAGGACTGTCTAGAATAGTCCGTGGTTGTCATCCCTACTCTGCTGAATAACGGGGGCCATCGTTTGGGTAAAGGTTTCACTCATTTTTTCACCTGTCACCCTCATCTCACGATCTATATCATCTTTCGTCTCATCCTCAAACTCATCCTTCATCACACACCAACTATTTCGTCTACCTATGTTCTACCCAACATATTTTTAGATAAAAATTACATATATATAGTTTAAATCATTTAAAAACCTGTATAAAACATTAATTCAACAACCATCTCAAGTAAACAAACAACGTATAAACACATAACATGTATTTCGTAGCAAATACTTCATATCTATGCGGTAGAAGAAAGTAACTATACACTCACTTGATAACACGATGATCGGACAGCACCTCGTCTCTTAAAATAATATTTTCCGATAAAACCGGGACGTTTTCTCCAGAACCGGGCTTTACGCAGGTAATGTCTTGACTCGGAAACTTTGCTTCTCGGGATCTTCGGGGCTTCGGGACTTGCTTCGGGGCTCGGGAATGATATCGGGGCTTCGGGGTATCGCTTGCACGAAAATCGATGCAAAATGGGAGAGAGAAGAGAAAATGAGCAAAGGAATCGGCTGCCCTCGCATTCTATTTATAGGGTGCTGAAACTTGATTTACGCTGGGCGTAATTTCAGAGTACGCTGGGCGTACTAAGCTCTACGCTGGGCGTACGCTTCGGATAAGCTTTGGTATGCATGCCTCGAACTTCAAAAATTCATAACTTTCTCATACGAGCTTCGTTTTCGACGTTCTTTATATCCACGCGTAGGTGAGACTATGCTCTACAACTTTCATTTAGACTCCGTTGGCTAATTTTGACTTTATCTTTTTTATATTATTTTTAGTAGGTCGGGACAGGAAAACTCTGTTATAAAATCATAACTTCTTCATCCGATGTCCGTTTTCGTCTGTCTTTTTACCGTTGGACTACTAACGACGAGATCTTCGATTCTCGTTTAGATTGTTTCGGCTAAATATCGCTCGATCTCATATTCAAACTTCGGGTTGTACACTGCTAAGCCGAAATTTCGAAAAATCATAACTTCCTCATACGAAGTCAGATTTAGACGTTCTTTTTATGCACGCTCTCGGTTTAACGTATTCTACGACTTTTGTTTAGATCGCTAAGTCCAAATATCGCTCTAACGTAAATTCATTATTTACGTCGCGTTGTGTCGTGCCGGTTCTGTCGCGAAACTTCGACAGGTCATAACTTCTTTGTTATAACTCGGATTTCGGCATTCTTTATATTTTAGGAAACCTTGTGACATATACTTCAACTTGGTTAAGATTATTCATTCTAAACAAACTTCCATCAAAAAGTCATTTTTGATGCTTATCGTCTCTAAATTGACTAGTCCGGATCTACGGGCGTTACAATTATCTCCCCCTTAGGATGATTACGTCCCGGAATCATCAACGAAAATAGGACTTGTATAATGATTCCATACGCTATCTCTTCATCCTAGGTACTAACCGTAACTTCTATGTTACCTCGAAAGAGTATTTGACTCTATGGCTTTCTTGACCGCAGACGATGCCCAATCTTGCATCTGCTTATCGTATCATGTTGGACTTTCAACCGTAACCTTCAAGTTACACAATAAGTCCTTATTGTGGACTCCTTCTTCTTCTTAGGATAAATACTTTTCTTTATCTATTGTAACAGACCGATGGGTCATGTTCTAATGACCTCTCATCATATGATGCAACGCTTAGACTCAGGTCTCTTAGAGTCAAATTCCAGAATGGAATATACCTTCCTTCATATTCTAATGTGATATAATCACATTTTTGCATGTAGCATTTCCAACTACAAACTTCATTAATAACGAGCGCGTTACTAATGATCGCATTGATTTCAATCTTCTGACTTCAGTCAAATGCTACATCGAACTCGGGTCTCGGAACCACGTAACAAACTCATCGTAGTCGGACTCAATTTTATATGACCACTAGGGTCGGAATAACAATCATCATACTAGTCATTACCAAAACAAAGGTAATGACATTCCTGAATAAAACGTAATCAATTAATAGTTTCTTGGTAACCTTGTGACTTTCCCTGATCCAAGTGCGAGTCCTGTGCTTCCGGTAGTATATGCATCTACTACCTTTCACACCTACTCATACTCGTCCCAAGTATTGTCTCGCAGTCTCCAAGTCCTAAAATCACAAAACAATTTAACACATACGAATGTGTCCACATAATCATATAAGTTTCCTTAGACTCTACTAGGATTTCTTCCATGTGTATCTCCAGTCATCAATACTGCTTCAACTTGGTTGGTGGTGGAAAGTTCATCCGATGGGACAACTTCATGAATAACACCAATATTCCATCATCCCGCCAATCAAAGGTGTACTTCAGACGTACCGTACTCTTCTAAACGTACTGCTTGACATATACTAACAACAAGACATCATTCTTACGATATCTTCCGATAGGTGTCATTCACTATCATAAGCCTTTTTCATTTCCTCCATTTACTCAAATCTCTATGAGTTTTCACCATGACGTTATTTTCACATAAGCATGCATTCCTTGCATCAAGACGAAAATATAGATAGAGAAGATTTAGACACGTAATCCTCCTTATTACTCCGAAAAGTTATATGTCAGTTCTAATATCGTAATTAAACGTTTAGAAACCTGAGCACATAAAATTTCCAGATCCGGTCGGCAACAGACCATAGATCCGAACAAATAATATCACATATGGCAATCATATAACATTTAGCACATAAAATCATTTTAGGCATCTTTCCTAAAATATACTAGTGCTCGTGTCTAAAATATGGTAGACACTCATCTCACGATCATCACTTAGCATTCTAAGTTTAAGTCTAGAAATTTCCTACAAATTCCTAGTTCGCTTAAACTAATGCTCTGATACCAACTGTGACATCCCCAATTTCTCGGCCAGAAAAGACCGATTTGTTTATGCTTTGTTTTATAAATCAGAGTAATCTTTTTAAAGAAAACGGTTGCAGAATTTGTTCCCAAACAAGATATGATAAAACTTTATCAAAACATTTCTCAAAGAGAATTTACTTTTTCATTAAATAATAAAATCTCGGGATGTCATGTTCCGATACAGACCAAAAGCATAAACAGTATAAAATAGACCTTACAACAGTTATTTATAACTACTGATCTATAATCCAAAATCTCTCGTCAAGTCCACCAACTTATACTCTTGTGCCATTACCTGTAATGCAAAGAAAACTGAATGGGTCAGGCTTGGGAGCCTGGTGAGCATATAGGGTTTTCAACCCACAATAATATAATTTTTATATTTAATCATCAAACAAACAATCCAATTACTCATCCCCATTATCTTCTTTATTTCTTAAGTTCTTACCTTAAGAATCCACTATCGTTCATTCGTTCGTTCCTAAGGATTGACCTAAGGAATTGGCACAAAGTCCATTGCTGCCCGAGGTTCATCTACGCAGTACTAAATCCATAGCTACCAAGGTTCATCCATACAGTACTAAATCCATAGCTACCAAGGTTCATCTATACGGTACTAAATCCATAGCTACCAAGGTTCATTTATACGGTACTAAATCCATAGCTATCATTGTATTTATATAAGGCACTAAGTCCATAGCTGCCAGGGTTTTTTAGAGTACACCGGTGAACACATCGTTCACAACACCTACAAGTTGCGAGCTTGCTAGTGTTCCACAGGACTGTCTAGAATAGTCTGTGGTTGTCATCCCTACTCTGCTGAATGACGGGGGCCATCGTTTGGGTAAAGGTTTCACTCATTTTTTCACCTGTCACCCTCATCTCACGATCTATATCATCTTTCGTCTCATCCTCAAACTCATCCTTCATCACACACCAACTATTTCGTCTACCCATGTTCTACCCAACATATTTGTAGATAAAAAATTACATATATATAGTTTAAATCATTTAAAAACATGTATAAAACATTCATTCAACAACCATCTCAAGTAAACAAACAACGTATAAACACATAGCACGTATTTTCGTAGCAAATACTTCATATCTATGCGGTAGAAGAAAGTAACTATACACTCACTTGATAACACGATGATCGGACAACACCTTGTCTCTTAAAATAATATTTTCCGATAAAACCGGGACGTTTTCTCCAAAACCGGGCTTTACGCAGGCAATGTCTTGGCTCGGAAACTTTGCTTCTCGGGATCTTCGGGGCTTCGGGACTTGCTTCGGGGCTCGAGAATGATATCGGGGCTTCGGGGTATCTCTTGCACAAAAATCTATGCAAAATGGGAGAGAGAGAAGAGAAAATGAGCAAAGGAATCGGTTGCCCTCGCATTCTATTTATAGGGTGCTGAAACTCGATTTACGCTGGGCGTAATTTCAGAGTACGCTGGGCGTACTCGGTACGTTGGGCGTACGCTTCGGATAAGCTTTGGTATGTGTGCCTCGAACTTCAAAAATTCATAACTTTCTCATACGAGCTCCGTTTTCGACGTTCTTTATATCCACGCGTAGGTGAGACTATGCTCTACAACTTTCATTTAGACTCTGTTGGCTAATTTTGACTTTATTTTTTTTATATTATTTTTAGTAGGCCGGGACAGGAAAACTCTGTTATAAAATCATAACTTCTTCATCCGACGTCCGTTTTCGTCTGTCTTTTTACCGTTGGACTACTAACGACGAGATCTTCGATTCTCGTTTAGATTGTTTCGGCTAAATATCGCTCGATCTCATATTCAAACTTCGAGTTGTACACTGCTAAGCCGAAATTTCGAAAAATCATAACTTCCTCATACGAAGTCAGATTTAGACGTTCTTTTTATGCACGCTCTCGGTTTAACGTATTCGACGACTTTCGTTTAGATCGCTAAGTCCAAATATCGCTCTAACGTAAATTCACTATTTACGTCGCGCTGTGTCGTGCCGGTTCTGTCGCGAAACTTCGACAGGTCATAACTTCTTTGTTATAACTCGGATTTCGGCATTCTTTATATTTTTGGAAACCTTGTGATATATACTTCAACTTGGTTAAGATTATTCATTCTAAACAAATTTCCATCAAAAAGTCATTTTTGATGCTTATCGTCTCTAAATTGACTAGCCCGGATCTACGGGCGTTACAAAAGATACTAAATTTGCACGAGATGTGGTTCTTGGTGAGCATTAGGCTATGGGAAGTGGAAAGTGCTAAGCCCTCACCACCCATTGCCAAGAATTCGTTAACACCACCCCTTGGCTCTCACCAAAGAAGGGTTGACAGCCAGCTAGCAAGAAGAGATATGAGAAAAAAAAGTGGAGAATGTGGGTTCTGATTGGTGCTTGGCATATGTTTTTTTTTTTCAAAATGAAATAACATCACAAATTCCTAGGTGACATGTATAAATCTAAGGTGACACTATGCTAAAAATGATTGTTTTACCATTTTGTTTTGTTTTATGTTTTATGTTGATAAAATATTGAAACAATGAACAATGACTTCAATTTGAAATAAAGAGGGATAATTGGCTCTCCTAAGTCCTAACATTTGATTATACGATAATAGAATTCATAATCTCCATACATAATGAAATAATGAATAAAGAATCACAAACTAGTCAAGATAAACATACAAATGATCATATGCTCCAATTTCTAACAAATTTGCAAACTTCTTAAGAATTATATCGATTTTGATAAGTTCACTCGAAGACCATTTATTTCTAGAGAGATACAAAGATCATTGTTTCCAACTTATGTATCAGATAATTCCAAACAGCTTTACATAAACCTCATACAAGACAAAAATGTTGGCTCCCATGAAACCAACTAGCTTCACATAAATTAACTTTCGGGAACCTGAAAGAAACATATGCTTCTATCATCTATTTTAGAAAAAAAAAATACTTCTTCATACCACTGTTATATATTATATATTGGGCACGCGGGCGTGTATAGATCAAGAAACAGACATACATGGTTTGTGGAGGTGAGGGGATTATAGCAGTTTAGCTCATTTTCTCTTTTTTATATTAATATTTAATTGATAAACAATTTGTGCAAGACTTTTAATTATTAAAAAAATTATTATCTATCTTATCTTGAATACACAACCCAACCAAATCAAAATTTATCACTCATTAGCAATCAAACCAAACTAAATTTAAATTAAAATATAATTATATAATATTGACTTTATTTTGTAGAGAAAACTAAATTTTATTTCATTTTTTAACAAAGATAAAACGAAATTATTTACAAAAATAGTTTTAGTTATAAAAGTTTATTTAATACTACCATTAACTAGTGGACACTTGGGCATGGACAGGTCGCAAAAAACGAGCATAGTTTGTGGATATGACCGTATTTCACGCTTCTTATTTTTTATTTTAAAAAAAATCAGTAAGCTCACTCCTGCAATCCCCGCCCTCCCACACCCGTGAGCATAGTTTTATACATAGAATGTTGGAAACTTGTGACATCGTTGGTCTAGTCAGATGTGATTAATTGCATTAGTGTTTGAAAATATTTTTTAGTGTTGCTAATTATCTATAAAATCCAAGAAAAAACTTTGGATCGGGCTTTTGGTGTAATGATAGGTCTTGAAGAACTAAAAGATACTCAACTCACACCATTCTCTCCTGACCAAAACCCCCAAAATGAGGATGTACCCAATTTTGTTGTTTGATCTTTGATGCATAAAAAACTAAAAGAAGACAAAATTGGGCCGATAGTCCATTAGAGGGCCTAGGTCTAGGATGGGATACTTATACTAATCGTTAGCCTTTGTTTTGAAATACCAATCGAGACATTCACAATCTTAAGAGAGTTAGAAAGAGAGAGAGAGAGAGAGCGCGCGGTTCAGGACTGCAGGTTACCAAACAGAGACAAGGAAAAGAGAAAAGAAATGTCGTACAAGCGCGGGAAAGGCAGGGACAAGGACCTTGACGACTTCATCTGCGACGACGACGCCCCTCCAAAGAAAATGCGCAAGAAAGACACATCCGGTGATGATTCCGGCGACGATGACACCATCTTCATCTGCGACGTTTCCAAAAACCGGAGGGTTAGTGTCCGAAACTGGCAAGGGAGGGTTTTTGTTGATATCCGTGAGTTCTACGTCAAAGATGGCAAGCAAATGCCTGGAAAAAAAGGTTTACACTTCACTACCTTTCATTTCTTTACTGAAATCCTCATATTTCATGATATAATCATATAGGGTTTTTTTTAGTTTAGCATTTTCCGTGTTTGAATTTATAGTTTATCTAGGGTTTCATATGTTTAAACTGTATTGACCTAGGGTTTACTTACCTTAATTTGCACATTAGGGTTTTCAGTAAACGATGGTTTTAAACTAGAATTCGTATTAGAATAACTTATAACGAACTTAGCCCCATGGTTTATTTGCACTAGGGGTTTTCTTAGTTTCAGTTTGCCTTCACAAATTGGAGCCTTTGTTTCTTTTATTATTGTTTTTATCTGTCTTCATTGGGAAACATCAATCTTCACATTTTATCAAATAGCTTATAAAGAACTTAGACATGGTTTATGATTGATTTTGTTTAGTGTTCATCCATGTACGAAGTTAAATCTGCAGAAGAAAAACTATCAACTACTGATATTGTTTATTCTATTGTCATTTCAGGTATCTCGTTGAGCATTGATCAGGTATTTAGTTGCAGCTCTTCTCTTGTGTTACAGACCTTACTTAAGTGTTGTTTCTTTTTGACTTAATAGATAAAGTCAGGGAAACTATGATTTCCTAATCAAGTCCTAACTTTTTTTAAATTTACTATCATTTACTTATCTAGACAACACTTAATATTTTTGGTCTTATTAACAATGAGGTTTTGTTGTTGTATTTGGCAGTGGAAAGAACTTCGTGCTCATGTGGATGAAATTGACAAGGCACTGGCATAGTAAATGGTGCACTATCTGTAACAAGTAGAAGACTAAAATGTGGTTTTTTTTTTACTGTTGACCAGAATCATTAGTGCAAGTATGCTTATATGCTGTATGTAGTTGTAGCTGGTGGATGTGGATTCTATCGTGGGATGTTTTGCATGGTTTTCCTCCCGACTCTTTAAAAAGGTCAAGTTGCATGCCTGTTATTTTGCAAAAGTTAAAATTTTACTTAATAATCAGGTAATAATAATATAAACTAAATATAAATTCTCATTAGACTTTCACTTTTTCCAACCCACAAGATATAAAAACTCATGCCTCTGACCCATTTAGTTTTTTTATTTTAAATTTAATACAAACTGAATAAAGTCATAAAACTAATCCACAAAATATTAAAAACATATAAAACTATATATAATACAAGTATTAATGCATTGTGTACAAGTGTACACAATGTATTAATACTTGTTGAAAATTAGTGATGGCAAAACAATTCACCCAAAATCAGAAGGCTTATGTCTACATATACAATCTAACTGTGCCTAGAAACATCAAGGAAGTCAATGTATGAACATTGTTCTCTTGTAAATACACAAAATATATCATGCTTTTTGCATTAAAAAAGTACAAATACCATCTTTTCCTTATGTTGCCAGTCAGAATGTTGAAAGGATAATACAAAAATGAACAATTACATAACTACTTGCACAAAAGATTTCTGTTATGAAGTACGAATCTTTTCAATTTGATCTTTCATACAGCACAAAAGACTGATAAGTTGATCCATGCATAATTTATAAAAAGCATCTCCCAATGCCAATTGCCAAATGAGCTACTTTCTTCTAAGAATTTAACACCAAAATCAGTTTATCAGATCTTACTACAAATTAAACAGTTATCAGATTTTTCTCAGAAAGTTGGTTTCCATAGCACTTCTCTCCAGATATACATCATGTTACAAATCTAACACAAATTCTATTATATCATATATTCATATTACTATTCCACATAGTATGATGTTACATCTGTAACTCATAACATCTTTCATGGACAAGATTAGGAAACAGGGGAAAAAAACATACCTGCAGTTCTTGGCGAAGAGCAGCATCCTCGTTTCTGAGCTCAGTCGAAAAAGGTTTCCCAACATCATATGAATAATATAAAATAATTCAACAAACAAAACAAAGATTTAACAGTAAGCATTCGACGGAAATCAGGAAAAAAAAAAGACCTTCAAGAGCTTTTTAATTTTGCGTCTAGCAAACAAAAGTGAATTTGGATAACTAGGGTTTTTGTGTTGAGCTCAGAGTTTTAAAGAGGATTAAATGGTTCGAGCAAATCAGCTCTTACTTGATGTTTTTAACTCTATAATAACAAAGTTCTAATCAATTTGGTATATATTTATATATGTTTTTTCTATAATTTTCTATAACTATTTATAATGCTATATATGTTTGTAGACGGTCTTAACATCTTCTTTACTGTTCCGAAAGTTCTAAAAAGTAAAAACTTTCTGTGACATCTACTTTTAAATTGTTAGTCACCAACCAGCCATTAGTTTTTCTTTGGGTTCATGACCTAGAAAGGTAACGAACTTTGGTCTTTGTCCACATTTAGATAACCATGTTTTTTTTTGTTCACATTTGACCATTGAATTTGTTTCACCAGTTTAAAATAGGATAATATGATTGGTAATTACGGTAATATTACCCTATTATGAACATGTCAAACAACTTTATTGGACAAATATGTACGAAAAAAACATGGTTACCTAAATATGGACAAAAACCAAAGTTTCTTACCTGTTTCGGTAATATTGGACAGGAACCGTCTTAGGGGCTATGCCCTGGGATCAGGCTCCGACAGTCAATGAACAATTAGGTTAGGTTTGGTCTAACCCAGTTCAGTCTCGGCTAGTCATAGGCTAGGCTGTGTTGCTAGGTCTTTAAAGCACATACAATCTAGCCCCTTAACCACATACAACCTAACCCTAACTAGCTGGGCTTAAACTGGGTTGGCCCAAGACTTGGCCATCTCCTCATACATAAAGACCGGACAACCCAATTTAATGTCACATCAATGGATCTTATGACTATTTGCACTTAACATAAAGAACCCAATATTACCAAAATAGGTAAGGAACTTTGGTTTTTGTCCATATTTAGGTAACCATGTTTTTTTCGTATACATTTGACCGGTAAGCTTGTTTGACCTGTTCATAATAGGGTAATGTTACCACTAATTACCGGTCATATTACCTTATTTTGAACATGTCAAACAAGTTCAATGGTCAAATGTGTACGAAAAAAATATGATTACCTTAATGTGAACAAAGACTAAAGTTCGTTACCTTTCTAGTTCTTTAACCCTTTTTCTTTTTCTATTTCTATATGAGGGCAAAAGTATTCATAGTGATTGACCAGTTTTTGAACAACAAATTTTTACGCTTAGACCATTTTTTTTTATTGGATTTGAATTATAGGTTATATTATTTTTCAATCTTCATATATACAAGTAGGAGTAGGACTAACATGGCATGTAAGACTAGGATGAAGGGAAGTAATAGAAAAGGAAGGCCATCATCATTCCATCCCACATCGCTAGTTTGTGAAATATTAGATATTTTTTAGGCTTTATAAAATGCAAAGAAAGGCAAGAAGGACAGTGCTCGTTTCCAAAATCTTAAACTCCTAATTAACGCCCTTTTCTCTCTCTCTCTCTCTATATATAGTTTAGATCTAATTAAAAATTAATTATTTTTTAAAAATGTGAGAAATAATCTAAACCTTTGATTCATGGAATCAATGGTTAAAATTAAAAGATATAAATTATAATTAACTTAAATAGTTAAACTTTTTAAAATTAAATGTTATGGGTAATTATATAATTGCTATCTACCCCTAAAATTATGATTCCAATCTTTTTAATTTTAACAATATCCAAATTCCAAATGAAATTTAGGATACATAGTCGCCAAATTCAACGTTTAGTGATTTGATCTTGATCCTAAGAAAAATAAAAAAGATCACCAACATAATGAAACCATACATAACTCTGAAACTAAATTTTCTTTAACAATCTATTGATTCCATGTGAATCAAAATCGGATTCCATCATGAACTAAATTTTCTCCATAACTGTTTTCTTTTTTCAGCAAATCATTGATTCAAATTGAATAACTTAGATTGTTAAGATTGAATATCGTAAACTAAAAAAACAAAAAATAATAACTACTTTTGAAATAGACACCTACAAAATCAGGGCGAACACAAGAATTAATAGTAGGGGTTGCACAATTTTTTTCCGGTCAAACATAATATAAAACATAAAAATGATTCATTACGTCTGATACAAAAAAAAATTTCTGGTTAAACATAATATAACAACGATCTATTAAAATTTAAATTTGTCCTCTTCGTGCATGCATCTTTTGAAACCGCTTCATTACTTTTTCATTCTCAACTTTTGCAAGTGTTTAGGTCTCAACATTACAAAGCAATGCGTCGTTCAAAAAGTCATCGCCAGTTTTGTTGTGCAAGTCATCTTTTGAAACATCGTTCTACACCTGCGGTCGCTACGGGTAATATCAAAGCCAACTTTAAAAACTTATAAACCAAAGGATAAGACTGATGCTTCCCCGTACTAACCATCAAACGAGAAATGTCAGAAATTCCTTTCAAACTAGTGATGCGCTCATATTTGATGCAAGAGTGATAACATATATCAAGTTGTCCTTCAAGGTCTATTATATCCAAATCATCAAAGTCATACTTGTATAACTTACCCAACTTCAACAACTTTGATTTGTCGAATTGTGCAAATGAATCACAAGGGCTCAAAGCACCCATATATTCTAGTAATGAGGTGCTTGTTTCACTAAATCGATCTCGATATTCTGTAAGTTGCATATCTACCACCATGTTGAATATTTCAACCTCAAAATGAACCAGTAAAACTTACTTGCTTCATTCTAAGCTTGATGAAGTCGATTTTGTTAACCTAGAAAGTAGAAATCATAGCTTTACTCCTTTAGCTTTGTGCCAACTGCCATGGTGTCGATGAGTCGATCGCTCGTTGCCTCGTTCAAGGGGGAAGAACGTAATAGAAACACGAAGTGTCGAAGTCACGAACGAACAACGAATGTCGAACTCAAAGGAAGTCAGGAACAGCTCGTGTCACGCTCGTGTGTGTTTTTTTTCCTTTTCTTCTAGCCGATAATACAATTAGTTAATTAGCCGGGACCGCCCCTATACAAATCAAAACTGAAGTTGGTTATTATGCAAGTGCGTTATGAGTTCATGTATTGTTTTTATTTGAATTATTTAAAATATTTATATTAAATCATTTTGATTGAATCACCGAAGTATCAACATCAACTTTTGTTGAATCATTTTAACTAAATCACTTAAGGGTTATTTCCAAAATAGACCCTCTATTCATAGTTTTTTTTTTCTATTTAAACCAAAATATTATTTTATTTTATTATTTTTTTTCTCAGGAAGACCACATTTTTTGCAATTAAGTGGTATAACCGATTATAGGCAGCAACCCAATTGTAGTCGTAGGAACATATATCACAGAGGCAGAATTGACCGGGTATATATATATATATATATATATATATATATATATATATATATATATATATAACAAAGACAATGTTGGAGGAATTATGGTTTATGTTGGAGATCTGGATAACCCTTGGATCGTGTGAACACTTTCCGAACTGATATTTCTATCCTATGTCTGGGTTGCAAGAAATTCAGTCTATGAGAATTCAAGAGGACACTTCGATTCTAGGCACAGAATTCACAAGCCAAATTGGTAGAATGATTCTATGTTCGCTTGAAGAAGAAGAGAGCTAATAAGTTTCGTATATCTCTTCTCAATGAGAATAGTCGTTTATATAATAAACGAGATTAGGGTTTGCCTCTTAGGGTTATCCGTCATGGCGATGCCCCTTTGGAAACCCCGGACCCAGGGGCGTTGCCCCTGGACCCCCTACTTGTCGTTGAACCGACTTCTAATTCGATCTTATACATGTGTGCATTCCGCACAAACTGGTACATATATTAGAGTACAAATTATGAAGTCTCTTAGCTCACATGTTAGTTTTAATTACATAAAATGACATGGTGACACTAAAATAACCAACAGACAAGAGATAAAATGAGTACGTGAAGACAATTCTTAACCAATCATTTAT